AAAGTATAAATATTTTTTATGTTTTCTTGTTTATTGTTTCCATTAAATCACTAAAATATAGTTTTTCCTGATGGTATATTATTTACCCATGCAATAAAATATAAATTATGATAGTAGTCTTATCTATTTAAAGAGCAGTTTATTTATTTATTTACTTTGAGACAAAGTCTGGCTCTGTCGCCTAGGCTGGAGTGCAGTGGCGCGATCTCGGCTCACTGCAACCTCCGCCTCCTGGGTTCACACCATTCTCCTGCCTCAGTCTCCTGAGTAGCTGGGATTACAGGCGCCTGCCACCACGCCCAGCTAATTTTTTGTATTTTTAGTAGAGACGGGGTTTCACTGTGTTAGCCAGGGTGGTCTCGATCTCCTGACCTTGCGATCCGCCCGCCTCGGCCTCCCAAAGTGCTGGGATTACAGGCATGAGCCACTGCGCCCGGCCAAGAGCAGTTTATTATTATGAAATATAGGACATGAGAATTTTAACTAGATACTATGTTAGATTTGGCCTTCACAAAACTGTGATATCAAGATAAACTGATTGCATAAACATTCAGATAATACAGTTGGCACAGAAAGCATTTTTATGATATTTGAAGTCAGATCAAAGTTAATTTCATGATCATAATAAGTGGCAATTCTTCACAGTCAAAAATCACGAGTATTTTCAAATGATTGGGGCTTACAGGAAAATAATTATATTGATTGTTATAATAACTTAAGAGATGGTCTCATTCCGTATCTCACATTGCCTTGGAGATATTAATTTTACATATATCTTAGATATGTGAGCAGGATTACCAGAAAGAAAATGATTTTTCTGGAACTCATAGTTTGCATTTCAATGCCAAAAAAAAAAGGATGAAGCCTTTAAGTCTGGCAGGCTACAGATACCTTGTGGTAAAGAAACAAGATGTGGGAATGGTTGATAGTCACTTACTCAATGAACCTATCATATTGCAATTATGTTCTTCCTCTGATGATATCAGGGTTATCATTATGAAATCTATATAAAATAAACATAGGAAAATATTGTAAAGCATTTAAATATGAAACTCACAAAAGTATATTCTACAACTTTTCTAAATTTCTTTTTGCCATCTACATATTTATTTAGCATCCACTGTTTGTAGGCTAATATCCTAGGCACCACAGATATAAAGAGAGAGTAGATAAAATATCTTCCATTTAGGGTTTATAGTGCTGCTGGGGAGGCAATGATAAATATCAGAAAAGATAGGTCACACGTAAGGTGTCTCAGCAACTCTAACAGAATCATTTAGAGTGTGTGTTAAAATGAACATTTCTTGGCCCACTCTCCAGACTTACTAAAGCAGCATGTGAAAATAATTTTCAGGAACTTGCATAACATCCCAAGGATTGTGACTCTCAGCAAAGTTTGAGAATCACTGGTAAAAGTTAAATCCATATGATACATAGAGTAAGAAGTTGACAGGGTTCAATTTTCTCTTAAAGAATAAAATATAGTGATAAAAATAAAATTGTAATTATTCACAAGGGTTTTCATTGCCTCAAGAGAATACCAAAGGCGCTCTACAAATTACTAATAGTTTAGTAAAGAGAAAGGATTTACAACCATTAAACAAAAATTAAAATTCTTATATTTACATTCAGAAAATGTAATTTAAAAATACATATACCAGGCCAGGCACAGTGGCTCATACCTGTAATCCCAGCACTTTGGGAGGCTGAAGAAGGAGGTTCTCTTGAGACCAGGAGTTTGAGACCAGTCTGGGCAACATAGCAAGATCCTGTCTCTACAAAAAATTAAAAAATTAGCCCCCCATGGTGGTGCATGCCTGTAGTGCTAGCTACTCTGATGCTGAGGCTGGAAGATCGCTTGAGCCCAAAAGTTCAAGGCTGCAGTGAGCTATAATTGTGTCACTGCACTGTAGCCTGGGGCAACAGAGTGAGACCCTGTCGATAGTAATGGCAATAATTATAAGGTTCCTAAGAATAAGCATAATAAAATATGTGAAAGACCAATGGAGATAAAATGAAAGCTTCATTAAAAAAGAAGATTTACAGAAATGGAGATATATGTTCATGGAAGGGTCACCTCAATATCATAAAGATGACAGGTTAACCCTAAATAACTTTAAGACAATTAAAATAAAAATCCGGCCATAGCTTTTCATTGAAAACAAGAAAGAAAGTTTCTTTTCACATTTACATAAAATAGTAAAAGAAAAAGAAAATATAAGGCAGGACACATAGACCGTGGAACGGAATCAAGAGCCTAAACACAGAACCCCATGTGTGTGGGATTTTAGCAAATGGAGGAGGAAGGGATAATCTCTTCTTTATTCTCACTCTTGGTACTCTTAGTCATTCTCATGCCTTTCAGTGTCATCTGGAAACTGACTGCACCCAGATTTATATTGCTAGCCCAGACCTCTCTTTCTTTACCTCCAGACTAGTGTAATCAACTACCTACTTGACATTCATTCCCATTTATATAGGTAACAGGCATCTCAAATTAAAGCAATGCCAAACAACTCCTGACCTGCCCTTCTCCCTACTTTTTTTTTTTCACAGTCTTTTTTTTTTTTTCTTTCAGTAAATGGCTTTTTTTTTTTCTTCCAGCTACCCAAGGCAAACACCCTGGAGTCATCCTTGACTTCTTTTTTCTCTCTCTCATAGCCCATATCAAATTCTCAGGAAATCCTGTTGATATTACCTTAGGAATGTATTTCTTAAAATCTTATCTTTCACTACTACCAACTTGACCAAAGCCACCTTTATCTCTCATCTGGATTTCCCAAGAGCTTCCTGATCATCATCTTACTTCTGTCCTTCCTCTCCACCTCCATACTCCATGCCCTATTCTCAAAAAAGTTGCCAAAATACTCTTGAAAATGTCAAAATATGTCACTTCTCTACTCAAACTGCTTCCTTAACTCTTTGACCTCATTTCTCACTGTCCTTATGTCCTCACTCACTGAAATTCATCTGACCTCTCCCCTTTGCTGGTCTATGAATGGAATATCCCACGCCATGCCCCCAGGGCTTTTAGCCTTGCCATTCCCATTAAGTGGAATGTTACTGGATAGGCATACAGGTGTGTCACCTTACCTGTTCAAAATCTTGGCTGAAATGCCTGCTTCCACTGGTGCCTTTCCTAACCACTTTAACATTTAACACAACTCCTTGCCTCCAAAAGTCTCTATCCCCTTCCCTTCTTTATTTTTCTTTGTTTGTTTTGTTGCTGCTGTTGCTTGTTTTTTGAGACGGAGTCTCGCTCTGTCGCCCAGGCTGGAGTGCAGTGGCATGATCACGGCTCACTGCAAGCTCCGTGTCCCGGGTTCACGCCATTCTCCTGCCTCAGCCTCCGCCACCACGCCTGGCTAATTTTTTTTTTTTTTTTTTTTTTAGTAGAGACGGGATTTCACCGTGTTAGCCAGGATGGTCTCGATCTCCTGACCTTGTGATCCACCCGCCTCGGCCTCCTAAAGTGCTGGGATTACAGGCGTGAGCCACCGCGCCCGGCCCCTTCTTTATTTTTCTTCATAGCACTTATCAAACCCTGAACACTACATTTTTTTTCTTTTCTTTTGAGACAGAGTCTAGCTCTGTCGCCCAGGCTGGAGGAGTGCAGTGGCTTGATCTCTGTTCACTGCAACCTCCACCTCCCAGGTTCAAGCGACTCTCCTGCCTCAGCCTCCCATGTAGTTGGGACTACAGGTACGCACCACCACACTCAGCTAATTTTTGTATTTTTAGTAGAGACGGCGTTTCACTGTATTGAACAGTCTGGTCTCGAACTCCTGACCTCATGATCCACCCGCCTCGGCCTCCCAAAGTGCTGGGATTACAAGCGTGAGTCACCGCGCCTGACCGAAAACTACATTTTGACCTTCTTTATTCATTTATTATCTGTCATCTCCAACTAGAATGAACGTCTAGTCCCTAAGAACGGGAAATTTGTTATCTATTGAAACTTCAGGGCCTGGAACATAGCAGCACTCCAGTATTTGTTAAATAAATGAATCCATTTGAGCTTCTGCATATTTGAAATTTCATAAGTATATATAAATGGTAAGCAGTGATAGACTCAAAGGCAAGTATCATTAGGCAATTGTCCCCATTCCCAAAAGACTTTCTAAGTCTACTAAATGATCTCTTTTTAATATGAAAGCAAAGTTACCTAAAAAGGAAGGAGAAATCTTCAGTTTCTTCGACTTGGAGATTCTTTGCAATTTAAGATTTTTTTTTTCTTTCCTTTCAATGGACACTTAAGTTTTACATAAAACATTAAAACTTCTTGTTCAATGTAGTGTGATTAAGCTGTCGAAGGCAATCCCTAAACGTGAGGAAAGTATGTTTCTGATCCCCCCCAATTTTTTTTTTCTCCCTGCCCATCTTCTTTGGTTGTCCTGACGCTCCCCGCCCCTTTTTGTGTTTCTTGATTCCATGCTGAGAACTCACAACACAAACTCAAAGCCCACATTTGTAAGGTGCTTGGGTCAGGACTGCAACTAAAAATGGTTATTTTTTTTAGGTTTCTGGACCGCTCAGTACCAGCCTTTGGTTTTGCCTCAGAAGCAGGGAACTTCTCTAGGCCCCTATTTTGCCTTCCAGCTGTTGATGCCACGACTCCAAATCATACCAGCGATTAGGAGGATCATTACCAGACACAAGACCAGGTACGTTTAAAAAATAAATAAACCAAGCGCAGGTGCACATGCCGAACACTCATCCCCAATCCCACTTTCCAATCCCACAGTAGATAACGAGAAATGAATTTGCTAGACTTTGTTCCTGCAGCAGTTGCTGTTACCAGAAACAAAGTTAGATTATATACAATCTACTCTTCATTGCTCTAAAAGTCCTCTCCCCATGGCCCCCAGGCTGCCGCAATTCTCTAGTTTCTTATTCGTTATAAGCAGGGGATGGAGCTGACCCAAGCCGGCCTTCCCCTCCCAGGGCCTTCTCCTCTTGGTCTGGCCTCCATTTTAGATGCGAATTAACCCTCCCATTACCCTTTCAGGAGCAGGGAGTCCCCTTTTTCTCCGCCTCCAGCCTCAGCCTCAGCTTGGTTTTCCTCATTTCGGATTTTTCTACAACTCATTCCCAAAGAGTCACGCGTGACGACAATTTCCACTCTGCTAAGTCAGCCTGGAGATGTCCCCCAAGTGATGGCATCTGCTCTCGGAAAGAAAGGTCATCGGTACCACGACCAGCCCCGCTAACCCAGAGGGGCCAGTGAGCCCCAGTACAGTCAGGGCGCGCGGCGGAGGCGAGGCCAGGGCGGCCCCCGCCCCTCCCGGCCGCTCCCCCTAGCGCCGCGCCGGCTCCTCCCTCCGGCCTTCGGCGGGCACCTGGCGGCGGCGGGCAGGGGGCGGCGCTGCGCGCGTCACGCGTCTGGGTGGGATAGCGGGCAGGTGACACCCGGCGGCCTCCTCCCCTTTCCAGCCCAGTCGGCGGCCGGGACAGCAGGGGCCGCTGTGAGGAGCTCCGCGCTCGCACTGCCAGCCGCCGCCCTCTCTCCCGCGCGCGCCGGGCGCTTGGGCTCCGCTCCCTGTGCGGTGAGTGCGGGGCTCCAGGCCGGCGGGCAGGGGCCAAAGTTTCCCGGGGCGCGGAGGAGAAGAGACGGAGGAGGGAGGCAGAGCCGAGGGAAACGGCGTCGGGAGCGGCCGGATGGAGGAACCTGGGCGCGGCGCGCGAGAAGTGGGGCCCGGGTGCGGGGGCCCCGGGAGCCGGGCCAGGCCCTCCCTGGGCTCGGGTGGCGTTTGGGAAGTTCTGTCCCCGCCGCCTGCGCGTGGGGAGGGCCGAGGCCCTTTTCCTCCAGAGCGCGGGGCCGCGGCGCTCACCTGCGCCTTCTCCAGGAGCCCACTCCCGGCAGCATCCTGAAGGGAAGTCGGGCCCGGTGGGCGCGCTGCGGAGCGGAGCCTGGACTGGGGTCCCGCGCAGCGCCGGCTCTGCGGAGCGGGAGGGGCAGAGGTGCTCGCCGGCGGGACTGGGAGGGAGAAGGACTTGCTCGACCTTGGACGCGGAGGTCATTGTCCCAGCTCCAGGGTCTGGTCTCACTAGCCAGCCCCCCAAATTCCGGAGCCCCTTTCTTTCTGTTTCCTTCCTTCCCCTTTGGGCGCTTTTTTTGCTCCCGCGGCCGGATGAACTTGGGGCGCTGTCCCTTCGGCTCCCCGAGCCGCAACCTGTCCCGGTGGTTGCTGCTGGCCGGGAGGAGGCTGATGAATACAGAGCCGTGGAACAGGTCGTGCCGGAGATGGAAACAGGAAAGCCTGTTGTTTTGTCGTCCCAGGTATCGTTGGTTCGTTGGGAAATGGGCTTTCCCCCTTCAAGTCAGCGCTGTTTCAAACTTCACCCGGTGCGGAGGAGAGCGCTCTTTGGAGCTCCCTGGGGAACTCGGGATGGGAAGGAGCGGGTCTTTACACCTGTCCTACTCCCTGTGTAGTTAGTCCCGCGCCGACTGAAGAACAGTTTTAGCGACCCGAGTTCCTCGCCAGTGGTCTTTTCCCTCTTGCTACGATCTCCCCTTGGAAAGCATGTTCACTTTAACCCTGTGTTCTCGGATTACCCTTTATTTCGCTCCTCGCTTTTATTGCTTACGTGCTCCCAAAGGGTCATCGATACCTGGTGGCTGCGTCTGCGTTCTTACCGCACACTAGCTTATTCAATTCCCTTTCTTTGTAGTTTCCCTTCGTACTACTGTTCAGAAATTGGTCTCCCCAAGGTCACTGAGAACCAAATAAAATCCACCCCTCACCCCGTGGCAGTCATTTATCAGTGCTTAGGTGCCAGGCACTGATATCAGTTCTTGTATTAAAGCTTTTAATCTTCACAACCATCCTGGGAAGTAGTTATTAATATTATTCTCATTTTAATGATGAGGTAACTGAGGCACGGAGAGGTTAAGTAACTTATCCAAGGCCACACCCATCTCAGCAGTAGGAGATTCCAGCTCTGGAGTTCTGTCTCCAGCACTGGAGCTGTTAACCACTGTCCTACACTGCCTCACCTAGAGTTCCTTTGCTCGTCCTTGTTTTCTGAAGTCCTGTGCTGTTTCAGGCATCGTTGACCAGGCTGTCAATCTCAGGTCCCTCCTTTCCTTCTTATGTGTCTTTATACTAGTTTAGGATCCCCACACGCTCCCCCCGGCTTTTTTTTTTTTTTTTTTTTTTTAAGAAAAATAGATTTATGGGACTTTGTTACTTAATCTGTCACCTGTATTTATCTGGCTTAAGATTCTGTGCTTTCCATGTCTTCTTCAGTTTTAGTGTAACATCTCTCAGTGCACATTATAATATTCTACTTGGACTTGACTGGCTTTTCCCCAAAACAGCTCTAGATGCTCATTTGCATTAAGGGTCCTGCCATTATCCTGGTCTCCACGGTGTCTCATGCCATTCCTCTCCCATTCGTTAAATACGTTCTATCCAATTTTTACATGGTCTCTTCTAGCCTTTATCAGCCTCACCCATCCCATCCTCTCATCACCACTCTCTCTCTTCCCCACTTTGAACACATCATATGCCCTTTTCTACTACTTGTTATCATCTTTTATGTTTGCTTTCCACAAAAAGATTGCAAACAGCTTAGGACATTAAATCTTCAGGCCTTACAGCTAGTAGTTGCTTGATACATGTAGAATATGATACAGTATAAATTTTGGTAGCACGGATCAGGCAGGTTTGATGATGGTGGAAATTTTTAAGCCAGGTTTTACAGGATGTTAAGGAGTTTGCATTGGTAAACGTGGAGGAGCTGGTAGACATTGTAGATGAAGGAGAGAAAGGCCTGTGTTCACTCCGTTGTCACAAACAGGTACCCTGCTGTTCTGATGAAACATTACATTTAGAGGTATCATGAAGCAGGGCAAATCAGCGGAGAACCATTTATCCTTATCTTGACAAAACAAAATATGAACACACAGAAAGTTAAGAAAAAAAACACTTTTTACTGGAAAACAGCACATACATAAAAGTGCATAAAACATAAATGGACAGATGAACACAGGAGATGTATTCAGCAGTAGAATGACTGTGTTATTCTGGCCATAGATAGGCTACAGTCAGGCCAAATAAGAATCTTTTCACAAAACCTGTGTAAGGTGAAGTGAGCCTGGACTGCTCCCAAGAGGCATTGCCAAGAAAGAATTGGCTGTGCATGGAGAGGCTTGAGGAGAGGAGAAAATGAGACTGGAAATTGGTACCAAAAGGGTAAAATCAGGGAGCCAAGAAGAGAGTTCTGACCCACTGAGCATAATTCTACCACAATGGATATTTAACCAGGTTGCTTTTGTCTCTCTCTTTTTTTCTATGCGTGTTTTCCTACATCATACTCCATATAGAATTTTAGTATTCTCCGGCTGGGCACGGTGGTTCACACCTGTAATCCCAGCACTTTGGAAGGATGTGCCAGGTGGATCACCTGAGGTCAGGAGTTTGAGACCAGCCTGGCCAAAATGGTGAAACCCCATCTCTACTAAAAATACAAAAGTTAGCTGGGTGTGGTGGCACATGCCTGTAATCCCAGCTACTTGGGAGACTGAGGCAGGAGAATTGCTTGAACAGAGGTTGCAGCGAGCTGAGATCATGCCACTGCACTCCAGCCTGGGCAACAAAGGAGACTGTCTAAAAAAAAAAAAAGGAAAGGATTTTTTTTTTTAGTATTCTGTGTTTTCCATATAATACCTAGTAAGCGTTTTTCATCTTATGTAATTTTCAGAACTCATATTGTTTGTATTCTAGTAATTATAATGTGATTTACCTAACTAAAACTCTATTGTTGGACAAGTATATTAGCAACAAATTATAAACAACCTAAGTTACAGTAATACTTATCTTTGCAACTGTATCATTTTACAAATTGGGACTCGTTTCCTAATGATACTGTTCCAGAAGTAGAATTACTTTGTCAGCAAGTATGGTCATTTTTATGGTTCTCAGTATGCATTGTCAGATTCCTAAAAGCCATTTTAAAAAGAGGATCAATGCATTTTGCCTAACTTTTCTCTCTATGAAGTAACAGCAATTCAATTAAACATGAACAGTATTATTAAATGTTGTATCAGTTTCCTCAGGCTGCCATAACAAAGTACCACAAACTGGGTAGCTTGAAAAAACAGCAGTTTATTGTCTCAGTTCTGGAGGCTACAAGTCTAAAATTAGGGTGTCAGCAGTGTTGAATCCTTCTGAAAGCTCTGAGGGAGAATTTGTTCCATGCTTCTCCTAGGTTCTGGTGACAGCAGCAATCTCTGGCATTCCTTGTGCCAGCATCACTCTAATCTCTGCCTCTGTCTTCATATGCATTCTCCCTTTGTGTCTGTGTCTTCACATAATCATCTTATAAATACACCAGTCATATTGGATTTAGGGCCCACCCCACTCCAGTATGACCTCATTTTAACATCTGTAAAAATTCAATTTCCAAATAATAGGACACTGTGAGGTATTGGGGGTTAGGATTTCAGCATATCCTCTTTGGGGCACACAATTCGGCCAGCCATAGGGTCTTCAAATATGCATAAAAGAAAGCCTCTATCTGCAAATAATTTCTAGACAAATTGAGAAAGTAAGATTTTTTCTAATTTTTGAGATTTGTTTATTCTCCATGATGTGCCACTTGTGCTTATCAGTTTTAAGATACGGAAGGATGTTTTTTTTTTTTCCCCCAAGACAGGGTCTCTCTCTGTCACCCAGGCGGGAGTGCAGTGGCACAATCATGGCTTTCTGCAGCCTCGATCCCCAGACTCAAGCAATCCGCCCACATCAGCCTCCCCAGTAGCTGGGACTACAGACACATGTCACCATGCCCGGCTAATTTTTTGTGTATTTTATAGAGACAGAGTCTCACTATGTTGCCCAAATTGGTCTTGAACTCCTGGGCTGAAGTGATTCTCCTGTCTCAGCTTCCCAAAGTGCTAGGATTACAGATGTGAGCCATTGTATATGGCCTGGAAGGATACTATTTACCAAACACATAATTCTGGAGCCATGGTAAACGTTAGCATGTTAAACTGAGAATAGCCAGAATTTCAATAAGATACATCATATAGCATGGAAAGAAGCATGCCATAAACATAGTTTTAGAAATATGTGTTACATGTGTTTCAGTGACTCATCCAGTTTTGACCAGGCAGTTACGAAAAGTTGAAAACTAATACCAGTTGGGCATTTTATAACATTGGTCTTCTAAAAAATTTGAAATTTCCATTATTTCTAATTGGTTTCTAAAAGTACATATTATTACACTGGCAAGTGAAATCACTGTTTTTATAAATGATAGAAGTTGACATACCGTCGTAATTTCCTTTCTTTTTTTTTTTTTTTTTTTTTTTTTTTTTTTGAGACGGAATCTTGCTCTGTCGACCAGTAAAGTGGTGCAATCTTGGCTCACTGCAACTTCTGTCTCCTGGGTTCAGCGATTCTCCTGCCGCAGCTTCCTGAGTAGCTGGGACTACAGGCTCATGCCACCATGGGCAGCTAATTTTTTATTTATCTATTTTTGGTAGAGACGAGGTTTCACCATGTTGCCCAGTCTATTCTCGAACTCCTGAACTCAGGTG